TTTTTCATCTCAAAGCCAAACGTATGAATTAACCAGACTGAGTAAGAAGGGAATGTATTATTCCAATGTCTTATTTTAATCTCAGTCAAATTGTGTATGTTTTTTGTACATTAAATGGTATAAGCACACATAAATCACTTGTGCACAACAGAGTCATAGGCATTTACATTACATATGCAGACAATATGAGACAGACAGAGAATCAGTTATTCTTTTATATTATAGATTCAGAAAGGTAAAGTTTTTCAGATTGACTAAAATCTGGTTATAAACTAAAATTATCCCAATGAAACAAAATAAAAGCCACCATTGAAGAAACAACGAAGAAAATGACAGTCAAATTCAAAATGACATTAATTTAACAAATATTGTGTAGATGCTACCAAATGTTATCTACTAAGAAATAATTTATTTGGTTAAATTTCAAGAAAATGAAATTGTCAGCAAACAAATGAAATGGAGAAAAATATTCAAAAGTGAATGGTTAATCTCAGATTGGAAAAAGGTTATTTTCTTATATGAATATTGATTTGAACTTTTTCCAAATAAAAGACAAGATATGAAAAGACTCACTTAGTCATGGTTCTGTGAAAAATCTATTGCAAAAATTCTAAGATACTCAGTAGCAATAACAACAATGGGAACAATTCAAAGTGATGGAAGAAGTGTAAATATTTTATACAATATAAATGTAAATTCTATATCAAAGTATATGAGATGAAGGTATACCCTGAATATAATAAAACTTGTACATTTTTCAATAGCATGGTACAAGCTATTATACTTCAAAGTCAACAGATGATTATTTAACAATGTGTTAGTCACCTTGGATTTCCGAAAATGGATATTCCCCTGGGGACCCAATGCAAAAATGCTCATAGTATTACAATTATGTAAAATTTTGTTGAAAAAAAAAAAAAAATAACCAAAACAGGTAATCTCCATTACAATATACATTAAATAAAAATTGCAACTGAAGATAGAATTATTTATTGGAATGAAAATTATAAATTTGTTACATAAATATATGTTGTAAACTGTCTGTGAAACACACTAATAAAATAAGAGAAAAAGTTTATTCATCAAAAATAACCACAATATATTTACATGAATAGAAAGATATATTAACTAAGCCCATAATTACAGGGCTGAAATATATATATATATATATATCTCACCTCTACTCTGGAGTTTCGTAGAGAGACATTTGCTGAGTGGATCAAACATTTACACAAATGTTTGTCTATGAAACTGGAGTAGAGGTGTTGAATATAACATCAATCAACTAAGTAACAAATTTTATCTTTGTGTTAATTATATATATATATATATATATATATATATATATATATATATATATATATATATATATACACTTACATTATAAATCATGAAAACTTACCATCATTAGTCAGGTGGGGTGACAGGAGAAAGCGACATCTGCCTCCCATGGCAACTAAGCTACAACTGCTCTACACAGCATGCTACATACCTTCACTAAATCAGAATAGTAGTAAGAGGAAGGAAAAGAAACAAATCGTCAACTAGGAATTATAAGTTTATTAAAAAATTGTGGGGTAACAAAACACCACATGTGACTAAAGAAGGGTTAAAAGTGAAGTGGCATCATATATTTTGAAAATTAGCCAAGCCAGTTTCTTGACTTGAATATTGTTAAAATATACTAAAAAGTAAAATGAAAGATAAATGTTAAAAGAATACTGATCAGCTTTGGGAGATTAAGAAGCCTGAGTATTGATCATTTCTGTATTTTGAATTTGCATTCCTCACTACCAAAAAGAATTTTGACCGTTTTAATTTAAAGGATCTAGTACAAAAGGATGAGACAATTTTTATAATTATGTGTATTATTTTTTGAAAACTTTAATAATAGATAATAAAAATTTTAACAAGAATTACAAAAGTTTAACAAATAGTTTATAATAATAAAACTACATTAAACTTATGCTCAAGAATGTGTAAAATACAGTGGATCCCCCAACATTTGATATCATTTTGTAGTCAATTCTTGCTCTGTTGATCTCAATTTTTAACAAAATGTGTCAAAAGTAAATTGACTTACCTCAATGAAAATCTACCAGAGAGATGGATTAAGCAATCCAGTGATAATGACAATGTCTTGTGGAAATGGCCACCATATTCACTAAACTTAACATCTTGTGGGTTTTTTCTTCTATAGGGCTTTGTGAAAGAACAGGTCTATATCCTCACTCTTCCGACAAACCTAGAGGAACTTAAGCAGTAAATCACTGAGGAACTGGAGAATGTTACGCAAGAGATGCCACAGAACGTTTGGAAGGAGCTGGACTACTGACTTGTCTGGTGTCGTGTCAAAGGTAGCACGCATATGGAAAGTTTGTGAAGTCAATTATAAAATCTACATCTGTTCAAATAACTTGTTCATATTTTGATAAATAAATCTTTCATTGTTCATCATGAAAGTGGTTTAATTTTGTTCGCTTGGGATAAGTAGTTACTCAGGTATTCACATTTTAAATGATGTTAATCTTTTGGAGAGACACCCTGTATTTACACACTAAAATTTTTGTAGTTCTTGTTTTGTATTACCTATTCAAAATATATAGAAAAAGTTTCTGTTCGCAAATTTATAATTTATCACTTCAAATTTGGGACTGAATATAGAACAAAAATTTCATGTAATTTTTAATACACTTGAGACTGGCTAAAATATTTGATTGCGACCATATAAATTTAGGGATTAACCAGTGCATGAAATCAGTAATAAAACTGATCTTTTGCTTTTAATCAAGGTGAGAAAGGAAAAAGCAGTTGGTACAGAAATCTTTAAATTCTATACAAACATACACAATGATAACTTCAATAGACTCACTATTGTTGAGTAACATTTTTTAATAGTCAAATTTCTTAACTTGTAAGTAAAATTTTATATATTACACAGATTTCATTTAAAACCTTTAACATACAGGAGGTGATTTTGTTTGTAAAGCAAATTTTATTCTGCCACTGCAAGTGACTCAGATAAATGAATGTTTGAATTTTGCAGTTGTCATATTCTGCTATGGCAACAGAAAGTGCAGTAAAGGAGACTTGAAAAACAATGCAGTGAAAAGGAAAGAAGTGAATAATGCAGTGTAATGCTGTACTAATTCCATACTATATGAATATATATTTAGATCAACAAACGTTTTTGTTTTTGTCTGTTTCATTAAAAATGAACAGGAAGACAGCATAAATTCCAGCATTTTGCTGCATTTAACTCACATAAATACAGACAGGTAAATAAGACTGCATCAATCTGCAGGGAGTCATTGGTTTAAGTAAAATCCACACAACATGTATTCTGTAATATATAAAGTCTTGTTAGTGTCAGTTCACTGTGACAGCATTGAATAATGAGATTCATCAGAATTATATCCAAAGTAATAATCAGGAAGTCATTTTCAAAAATTTATACCAAAAGAAACACTGATTAATTTCTGGAGGTATTGTGAAACATTGAATACTCTCAAACAACACATCTACATACAAAGAGTTAGGTTTACAATGTGCTATTTATTGTCAAATTTTATATAGGACATTGGATGAGCTCTTTGCTATGGTAAGCACAGTACTAGATTAGCATCAAGATCTCATCAATTTACAGTTGAATAGGTTAGATGTAGCCATAAGTTCTATGCTAACAGTTTCTCATGCTTCTCACTTGTGGAACTCTCTTCCAGCTCCATGCTTTCCACCCAAAAATTTAAATTTAAATGCAATGTCAATTACTATCTAGTGTCCTCCTAGTTACTCTTTTCTCTTCCTGTTCTTTATTAATGTTTCTGTTCCTAATTATTCCATACCCTGTAACCCCTTGTGCCTTAGTGGCTTTACTGCCTTACATGGGGTGATATCAATTTAAAAAAAAAAGTAAAAGGGCACCCAGTAAGAATTGATCTCACTATTCAGTAGTAATGTTCAACAGAGTAACCTTGTTAAACATTATTCAACAGCAAGGTGCCTCCTTACAATAACATTAAAAGAGGACTTGTTTTTTGTATCATGACGATGACATCACAGTCAACAAATGGTGCAGTATAAAGCCTGAAATTCAGTTGCTGCACACCCATTGTGCAGCACTAATTTGGCATTTTGATTGTCCCCAAAATTGAAAAGTCAACAAGTTTTTGAAAATTAACCAAAAGTAAACCAGAAACTTTCTTCCGGGACAAAATTTAAAAAATAAAATATTTGGAAAAATGTGTTGTGATAAAATGGTGATGATTTTGAAAAATAAACTTGTAACATTGTAGAGAAATTAGTTATATATGATTAGAAATCTTATTTATCAATTAACCATCATATAATTTTCAAAAAGTTTTAACATTAACAGGTTTCATAATTGCAGAGACAATTTTAGGATTATTTCATAATTTATGGAGGTAAATTCATGCCCATGAAAAAAAGTGCTGAAAAAGAGGGATTAACAGCAAAAGAAATAAAAAAAAATGTTCACTCACTTCTTGACTAACACTACATTTATAAACTTGTCAAAGAAAATAACAAATGAAATTTGTATGTTTTTTATTTCATATTGTTCTAAGTAAGAAAGTCATTTACAAAACACTTTTATATAATCAGTACTCATGAGGGGTTGTAATTATTGTATAAGTGTATAATTTTCAAAAATTTTCAAATAATTTTTCAATTATTGTATAAGTGTATAATTTTCAAAAAACAAATATATTTTTAATTTACAAGCATTTCCTTAAAGAAAAGTTCTTTGAGTATCAAGAAACTGAATGTTTACAAAAGAAATTTTAAAATGTTGATCAATATAAAAATAAATCTTAAGACATAAAATTTAGAATTCAGTTCATGTTCTAAAATAAATATGGGGCATGAAAGAAAATGAGAAACCATCAACAAATATAATTAAACACTAACAACATTATTGATTTTATGAGATTTTTTTATTAAAAATATACATCTGTTTTGAGAAATGTTTTCAATTGCAGCTAGAGTAATCCTATTTGACACTGTCTGTCTTTGACCTGTTTACTAAAGAACGTCCTGAATAAAGACATTAGGTCAGTTCTAACTTCTGGGATATCAATGAGACGATGAGACTTGATATCACGCCAATTCCAATCAAGGATCAGTGCATTCAGAGATTTTAGTTTTAAAGCTCCTGGTAAAAAAAATATCAGCATTAGTTAAATGTGAAACAATAAAAAGATATTAAAATATATTTTCATTTTTAGTTTTAGGAAAACAGGAACAAAAAAATATGTTCAGAAAATGAGTCTAAAAAAAAAAAAAAAAAAAAAACCCAGCCATGTTGCGACAAAACAAGTTTTATAAGATTTTCCTTTAGCTCACAAAAGTTTATATCAAATCTAAAATCTATATATAAAATTGTATGACTTCTGTTAGTCCATATGTTACACCCTCTAAAATAACCATACATTAACCAATTGAAACCAAATTTTGGGGAGAATTGCAAAAAAAAGTAAAGGGGGTACAAAGTACAGTTGGTTTTAATATGGTGCATAGCTTAGTACAATAAATTTTCATTAATTTTTTGGAAAAAATAAGTTTTATTATTTAACACACGAGACACTCCCACAATTTTAAAAACAATTTGATAATTAAAATAACAACTATTTATTTAATAATAATCCAATATTATTTTTTGCATATCTTTTCTTTAAGTTTTCATATATATTTCATTCTGGTCAAATATAATGCACAGTAGTAGCATTGTAAATGTAAATACAATAGGAAGAATTTCAAATGGGCAGAGGATTTCAAGAGGAGAAAAATTTCAATTAGTCTCCAGAAAAAAATATTTATGCATGGCCAGTTGTATGTTGCATGCTCAAGAGTAAGAAAACCTTAGAATTTATTATTTGCTGTTAAAAAGGTAAAAAAGAAATTTTCTTAAAAAATATTGTTTACCATGAAGTTCTACAAAATTAAAGACGTTATTAAACCACAACGTAGGGTTTTTGTCAAAGTTTTTTTCCAAACAAATCAGCTTATTCAAATTTCATTGATTGTTTGTGAAATTGAACAAAACAGAGTTTATAAATCTCAATAAAAAATTTCAGCGATAACTTCAACAATACTGTGAGAATTTCAACATGCATCCACATGTTGCCAAAAAATTCTAGTTGTTGTAAATTTCAGGAATAGAAGAGAGGTTGATACACTTTATCAAATTTTATTAAGCAAATCAATATTTTCATAATAAAATTGGTATTAAACAATCAATGTTGCTAAACTTTCCAGGATATACTTTTATAATAAATATAGCATAGAAATTTCATGGTATATTTTCATGAGATTTGAGAAAAATTAAAAGGGTAACAAACAAGAAAAGTGGATTGAGCAGAAAGAAAATATTTGAAGAGTATTATCTTGCAAATGTAAACACAAAAAAGATCTAGAATATTAATAATATTGGTTAAAGACAAGAAAACAACTGAATTACTACCTTTAAGTAAACACAGACCGTAACATTTGAACAAAGACATACATAAAAACTGATTTCTTAACTAATTTCAGTATTGAATATAGAGTTACACTGGATGGATCCCATGGCTGGGTTAAAAGTTGGATCCTACATCAGAATAGGCAACCAACACAACTTAGAAGACATGGAAATTATATTGAAGATGTTATTTGTTAATATTCCAATTCAATAAAATGTTGTTGAAAATTTAATTTCTTGAAAATATGTATTTTTGCCTAGGGTGCCCAGACTTTAGGGACACCCTGTGTATGCTGAAAGAAGGTAATAAAAATTTCATAAAGATGTGTAAATACATCTATAGTGATAAATATCTTTGAAATAACAAAAGAATAATTGATAATTTTCATTTTGAACTGAAAAATATTTGCTAAGAAGGGAAAACATTTTAAAAATACAAGAGAACACGTTGCTGAATGTAATGCTACTGTGCCGATGAAGACCTGACAATACATGACATTTCTTAAACAAGAAAATATGAATTAGAAGGAAAAACAATGTCCACAAAAAACATCAGCCATCAAACAATGATAGCATACAAAGATAAGGTGATCAAAGAAATTACTTTAAAGACTGACTGATTGATTTGCTTTTTATAATTTGCTGGTTATTTCAAACCAGAACATATTTTTACATTGTAAAAAATTATTTGAGATAACAATGATTTACTGATACTGATAACCCATAGCTAGGAAAAGAAATGGATTCATACCTTTCTCAAAAGTATTTGTGTTTAAGTGAATATATATATATATATATATATATATATATATATAAGACTGGAAATGGAACCCAGTTCTCGGATTTCCAATTCTGAGTTGTTATCCATTACCCCACCTGCACATCCAAGCTTACAGTACCTAATATTTCCAAGAGGTCACCCAGCTAGGTACTAACCAGGCTTGACATCGCTTAACTTCAGTGATCATATGAGAACCGGTGTTTCAATGTGATATAGCCATAAACCCAATTACTTGAAGGAATCAACACAACTGTTATTTTAAAGGTTTGTGATAGTCATTTCAATTAATCAACTCTAACACTCTCTACCTTGATTAAAATTTTACAATAGTTTTACTATTAATTTAGCAAAGTAACATAAGATGAAAATATCAAAAACTCTGTAGAAAAGTAGACGATTTACCAGAATTTAATAAAGCATTTAGACGATTAGGTGTACCAACACCAATTTGAATAACAGCTTTTTTAAGGAATTTCTTGTGGTCTTCAATCTGAAATGAAAAAGAAAATCTTACAATAGAAGTGTCTTTTGCAATAATCTAGTAATGAACTAAACGTCTTAACAAGCTTTAAAATTTGCCACAATTATGTCTATATATGATAATTGCACTGAGTACTGTCTAAACTGAAGCATTGTGATGCTTTTTGTTCTAAGTTCAATTGTTAGACTGAACAATTTGTTAGACAATGTTTCAAGCAAAAGACTCCATTGTGAACAGATTACTTCAGCTAAACTGATCAGTGTATCAATGTGCACAGTAATTATTGATAATATTGATAACATGATCCCAGCTCAGGTAGAGATTTTAAAATGAAAATAACTGTTATATGTGGATACAATAAGAAGTCCAATGCCAAATGATGAAAAAAAAAAATCAATGCAATAAATATTTGTCAATGCATTAACTCAATACTTCTCTATAGATCACAGAGATTTTATATTATGCAATGAAAATTTCTGCTCAAAATTTTGCTAACTGTATAAGGCCTTATTGATCTGTCTTTGTAGATCAATATATAGGGTATGACTCACTTCATGGATGGCTAATTATATAGTTACACTAATAAAGAAATTCCATAGGTAATAAATTCTGTAAATATTTTGTTATATTAAATTACCAAACTAATGACTGAAAAAGAATAGGTAAACATAAAAAGGTTAATTCCCACCAAACTCAACATAAGGTAACTATAAACTAAATTGCCAAGACATTAGAAACAGAATTTTATTGAATGCTTTAATTCTCCCCACTTGTAGAAATGGACTCAACCATATATTATGTATTATGCAAGATGTAATAGGTAATACAAGGAATATGTGAATTGCAGACAGAAATCGGTAGCATGTCAAAACTGAGGGTGCCCACAGATGATGCAAGAATGGGATCAACATTATTTGACAAGGAAACATCACAAGCCTTTCACTACTCGTTCGCTATTTCCATGGCATGTGTTCTGATGAGCTACATTCATTGGTTCCACCAGCCCTAACCATAGTAGCTGGGACCTGCCATGCAATGTATATGAATCATCCTCATTCCCTTCATATTCCATTAAAAGAAGTAAGTTTCGCTCAGACAGCTTCTTCCAAAGAACTGCTGCTTTATGAACAGACTCCCAGCAGGATGTTTTCCTAATCACTACAATCTTGCCCTCTTCAAGTCTAGAGTTACCTGTATATCTTTCCAACATAACATCATGAACTTTACTTTTTGCTTTGTATTACACTCATACAACATCACATAGTAATGCTCTACCTTAAGTGTCTCTTGAGCCTTGTATTGAGTGAACATCAGTATATAAAAAAAGATTGTAACAGGCCATCAAAGAGGAAAATTGTATCAAATAACATTCTAATAAATTGTTGGTTCCACTCAACAAGGAGACCATTATTGATACTAGGCTTGCACAGATTAATCACCTTTTAATCAATAATTGATCATATCAGCATTTACTGTCATCAGCTTTTTTTTTTTTCCATTTGCCAATTTTCATACTCTGGCATCCTTGTCTTTTTACAGAAAGTTCACCTCTAGCTTAAGAATTATTAGTGATCTTGAGACATATAACAAATTTTAAATTCTGATAGATTTGAGTTAATTTTTCTTGACCAATCTTTATTGAGAGTTAATCAGTACAACTCTGATAGCACAGCATCAGATAATGTCTCACTTGATATGGAGAACAAGGAAGACCGTGTAGCTTAGTCAAATGTCCCATTTCTACCACTTTCAGGCAGATTATTAAATTTGTGTGTAGAGGTGACTGCACAAGGCTATGAATCCAGCCTGACAATAAAGTGTTGTGCAAGCTGGTGATGACAATAATGGTGTCTGGAGTTTGTAAGAGAAACCAGAATCTGTCTTGACAGGTGTAATATATGCATATCTTGTTGATATGTTTCTTGGGTAGTGCATGGGTGACATAGAAACTGACCCTAGGAACACTCAGCTGATTTCCACTGGCACCTATCCAATAACTTTTTTGGCATTTCAGTTTATATAAAAGTTCCATAATTTCCATTAAAATTTTATCCAAATTAATCACATTGGGCATTATCATTTTCCAGGTTAAATATAACTTAATTAGGATGCAAAATTTTCAAAAGAATTTAAAACAAATACTTTTTGCACTAACTTGATGAGAACTCCTAAGTGTTAAACTAAGCTCTAAAACTAAGAGACAGAGATAAAAAGATAAAAGAAATAAAATTATTTAGATCTTTATTCTTTTAGATTGGTGTTTTTCAGATATAATGGGCTTAGGAGAAGTAAATGCAGAGATTATCAATTTTCTGAATTAGACAGACAAAATATATTATCATCCAAATCCTTAGAATGAAAATGAAAGAAAAAAATTAGTTAAAAAATAAAGATTTTATTTCAAAATAATTCCTATCCATATCTTTGTTTGTGTAATTTCATATAACATGGATGGCATTTCTGATTAAGAAAAAAATACCAACCTTAAAATGTTTGGCAAAGAGTTTTGCCGTTTTTGCATTATCTCCTTTGAAAGAATTTATCTCCCTGCAAACAACAAAGATAAATAATTTTGATTAGAAAAATATTTTTTTAAATTATATTTTGATATTATTGAATAATTTCCTCTTATTTAGTGAAAAAAGAAAAAGTTTGCCTTTCTCAAAAATACATCATAAGAGAGGCAAGAATGAGAATAAAAAGAAGATATTTTATCTTTTAAGAGATTAGTTTAAAAACTTAGTAATTATATAAGGAAGCATCTTTATTTACAACAATAATAAAGAACATATCCTTGATGTAGACATCAAAAGCCAAAATTGATTTTCCCAATGCATAAATTCTAAACCAGTCCTTTTTAGTAGACATCAAAAACTGAGTACTCAGTCATGACATGTGGAAAGCATTCAACTTTAAAGACACTCATCAATTCTATCAATCTTTATTATTTCTTATGGATTAGCATGAGGCGTTTATTTTGATAAACATCTCTAGTGTTATAGAGCAATAAAAGTATTCACCTGATTAACTCCACAGATCGAACAGCTGAACTTGCAACAACAAGAATCATCGGAGATCCTGGCTTTAAGTCCTTCTTCTTTTTAAGCATCTTTTGCCATTTCGGCAGGATCTGTTTCAGGTAAATTGAAGGTTGCAATGAATCTGTATTGCATTCAAAGAAGTGATCTAAAAAAAAAAAAAACAAACAAAAAAATCTTTTGATACAAAAATGACTAAAAAACATGAAAGAAAATAATACAAAACTGAAGAAAAGGGATAAAAAAAAAAATAACATTTGGTTATATTCTGGGAAGTGTGCTGGGTTAAGAATATTTCAACACTCACTCATACTTGCAAGAAAATATCCTATCTAATGTCTACTTAAGGAAAGGATATATCATTTTCACTGCTCCATTATTACATTGTTGCATGGCTATGCTGGCCACTTTTTGGAAAAATAGAAAATTGTCATTTGCTGAAAATAAAGGCCTGTAAAAATGCTGAAGGTAATTCCTCATGGAGGCCACCTCTTTGGTTTTGATCAGATACTCTGTACTAGATATTAAGTTAAACCACATCCCCAAACATACAATATAATAAAAATGTGCCACAAAACAGCTTGTATTGTATGCTGCTACAGGTCTACACTGGTTTGGAAATAGCACTAGTTAGTTTATAATACAACTGCTAGAAACCAAGATTCACAGTATTTTGAAAACATATGTCAACAGCAAGCAATGTAAGTTTTGTAAAGACATATGAGTAGGTCCCCAGTAGCAGAATAATTAAATAAATTACTACTTTTCACAAGCTTATTCAGACACAATTTTTTTTTATTTTTATTCAATTTTTACCATACATTCTTCTTAAATTTTTTTTCTAAGACACCAGTACCAAATTTGTGGCGGTAATCATAGCTCATGGCTTTGAATGAAAAGAAAAAATTTAAAAGATGTACCTGTTTGAGATCGGAAGGACTTATAACAAAACATTGTAACTGTTTCAAAACCAAAAAGGTGATTTTTTTTCTATAAAGTCTTATTAACTTTCAAAAAGGTTTGCAGTATTTTTCCTTTTATAACAAGTCCAATATGCCACAAATGCATATTCCTTTTCTTAACCTCAAAGTGATTTTAGACGGCCAGTATTTCTATGACAATCTTGTGTGATCCTACTGCTTTGTCTCTCTTCATCTTGGCTATTGTTGTCCTTACTTTAGTTTTTAGTATGAAGAGTTCTTTCCTGCTTCTATGCATTATAGCTTTCTCTCCTTAGTTATCATGGAAAAGTCCTCTTATTTCACCATATCTTTTATTTTTCCATAATTTCTCTTCCTCCTTTAAATTTCATAGATCCTAATAAAGAGCATATTTTCTGTTCTGCTATTTCCTGCCCTTTTCATGCATACCAACAGCAGAATGTGTTTACTTCAGTTTTTCAATCTTCATACATTTCCTATTTAGCCATTCATCCTTAGTCAACTGTGATGCTTTTCTTCATCCATACATATTCTGTGACTATTCTTGTCATTATCCGTTGTCTCTTCTACATTATGTGGAGAATTTCACTTGTCATCCAATTCATTTCCTCTTATCTCTCCTTCCTTGTAAAAACTTCTTTTGCTGTTGTCACAAGTGCTTCCTTTAAAATGTTTCAATTTGCATTTCTAACATGCTCCAAAGCATTTTATTTATTCTTAACTTCAAATATATATACTTGATTGTGAAAGGAGTTAGTGTAAAGTCTTTCATGTTAACAATTGCAGCATTGCTTTTGGATTCTTTCATATTTATAATCTTTTCCTTAGTTTACATATGATGAGAAAGGTGATCACTCACATAGTCAGCACTTGGGTATGTGCAAAAAATGCATTTCTAAATTGTTTGTTCTTGATCAACTGTGTTTATCTAGTTTTTGGTATCTCTTACTGGGCTTTTCCAAGTTCACAAGTATCTTGGGATATTCTTTGAACAAAGTATTGGTTATTAATTGGCCATTCATTATGCACCACTGAATCAATTTTCTCCACACTCATTATGCGATCCAAATCCATAATTACCAATCATTTTACTACCCTGTTCTCTTGCTACTTTGGCAAGTGCAAGAGGTGAAATAAAGTCATATAAAATTCAACCAAGGGAGACAACACTATCACATGTGAAATAAATATTCATCTGCATTAAAAGTAGGGGAAAAAGAGAACAATGTACAAACTTGAATATGTATCATCTAAAGTGCCTGAACTGTATAAAGTGTTCAAAGTCTAAACTGTATTATTGTGTAACAACCAAATTTTCTCAGCAAATAATATTGTAAAAGTAACATTTCAAAAGGAAACTAACAGAATAAAAAAAAAATATTAAAATAAATATTTATAAATTCATAAAAAAAAAAATTTAATTGGTTCTTTTATGGCTTTATTATTCAAATATTAAGAATGTGCAGGTAGCATAACAGTTATCAGCATGGAAAATACCATCAGTGAGTCAAGTTCTACTGTATTTTACTGCTTATAATACACATTTTTCCCTATAAAATATCTCTAAAAACCACACTGCATCCTATAAATTGATGGTCAGTGACAGGAGTTATAAAGTTGGGAGTGTGGAGGTGGGCATCAGCTCCCCAGTTAAATCCTAAAAAGTAAAACAAATCCAATGTTTCAAAATTAAATTAACAGTTTTTCCAGTACATTTTACACTGTAAACTTAGTGCTTGTGACAAACTTGACATGATTACCAGTAATGAAGATTTTAAGCTATAATATAAGTATAATGATTCAGCAGTACAGTAAGCAGTGTTGCATATTTTAATCTAGACATAAATCAAACTTAACCTTATTTCTGTATCCAAATTTACATGTATTTAGTTTAAAATTAGTGCTTCATCCTGGTTTGTGATGAATTAGTCATGGTTAATGAGGATTTCAGGCTGCAATAAGGTTAGTTTTCAGTCGTATTATGCACTCTAACTTCTCTTATAATTATTACATTCTGAAGAGTTACCATAAATTTGTTACTTGTTGGTCTGTGAGGAATTGGTCATTAGTCAGGTTTTCATGCTGAAATATGTTATTCAGTCAGTAACATTGGGGATAGTATGAAAAGCCATGAAGTACAAGAAAAAGAATTTTTTCTCCAATTTCTTCCTTCAAAATTCTTTTTGGAGGAGACATCTAATACATCAGACTGTCTTATAAGCAGCAGAATACAGTAATTCTGAACAAGTTTGTGCTAGTGCCCTTGAGAAAGGTATGAATACATTTCTTCTCTTCCCACCTAAGGGTTAAATAGCAATTGAGACTGGGCTGTCAAGCCTTAGTTAGTAGCCAGTTTAGAAAGACTTCTCCAAATTCAAAAATACAAAGAAATCACTCCATTATCTTTCCCAAGAATTTATAATAATTCACAGATATTAAAGAAAAGAGATTTTATGGAGAGCCATGATCAGCTATGGGTTTCTAAAAAAATTTGAAAAGATAGAAAAATTAATACTATATTTTTCCTTGTTCAAGAGAGCTAATGTTTCTAAAACATTCTGAAAACAAAGGCAATGCCAAGTTAATACATAAAGAAGTTAATCTGATACTTGTAACCCAACTATAATCGTACCAAAGATTAGCAATAGATTTGCTATCAAGAAAAGCATTTGCAAAGATTTATAGCGATATGGTAAATATCCTAAAAGCAATAATATTATTCACAGAGAAACAATTAAGATATTAAGAAAATAAATGAACAATATATTAATTTGATATTATTTTACTCAACCAAGCTTAACATTTTAACATGTAATAAGAGTAAATAGGTTTGCCTATCATCCGATTCACACTCCTCCCTGTTCTGTTGAACAAGAGGTTTATCCCTTGTTCCCAGTTAAGATTGGGTTTCTGGGTCCTTCTGAAGAATTTTCTTTTTCTTTCACTTTAATTATCCCCCTTGTCTCTTAGTGACATTATCATCTAGCTTGGGGTGAATTGATTCATATATATATATATATATATATATATATATATATATATATATATATATATATATATAATTCACAGGTAATTGATCCATTGGTATAAAATCCAGGTAGATCCTAAAAATATTAATTATTAAAACAGTTCCACAAAGAGCTCAATGTATTTATTATAACAGAGAATATGTATTTTTTAACAAGGTGTCTACCAGGAGGACTGACATTGAAAATAAATTTAAAACAATGCTCCGAGCGAGACACTTTGGGGCTGATGACAGCCGCGTACTCACGATATATACACACACACACATTCTACAAAACTGCCTATTAATAATTCTAATCTATAATACAAATGTCATATACTTTTACTATTAATTACATTCATACTAATGTCCTCATCTTTGTTGTTATTATCTCAACTGTTGTGACCTCTGGCCTTCTTCAGTTGTCTGTCAATCCAGGTAACTAACCATCAACTGAACACCCTTTATTTAACCTTCAGGGACAGATTGTATTTTCACTGTTTATGTAGAGTGGATTAAAACACATTGGTTCATGAATTTGGTGGCATAATAACTGTTAGTTCAATCACTTGGTCAGATAGTACAGAAAGTCAGTGGATACAAGGTAAGCAATAAATGAGTGTACTAAAAAGAACATGAGATATCCCTAGACATGGACGGCACAATGAGAACAATTTACCCTCATCGATTAAAGGGTTCAATTTAAAATTCCTTGAAGGTCATCTGGATTGATAGACACCTGAAGAATTCCAGAAGATACAAAGGCCAAAACATTGTGATAATAACAACAAAGATAAGGACATTAGTCTGTATGTAAATAATAAACTTTCACTATTTTTAGACAATTTTTTTGCAATGTCATTTTTTAATTTAATTTTTAAAATTCTAACCACTGCCACACATGTTAAATTAAGAAAAAGGGATTGAAATAGTCTTAAATATGTTTGAAGTTTTAATCTTGATTTTAACTGCAAGAACATAGCAGAAAGTCATAAAAAAGCAAAACAAAATATTTTTCTCTACTAAAAGAAGATTTTAAACTTTTTTTACTTTTCTGTCAACAAATTACTTATGCAACCATGATGATTAATGCAAACAGAAGAATTAAATAGATTTTTTAAATTTTCCAAATACAATTTAGTTCTTACAGAAATTGAAAGAAAAATAGATAATCACTATCAGAATTTCTTAAAAAATATTACTTTTTGTTTAAAATATAGTGAAAAATACATTTGTTTATTTGGGGGCAGGATGTCTGTCTGTCAATTCAAAGGTCATGTAGCTGCTGCATAACCTTTCCATAGTCATATAATGTCATGCCAAAATTAACAGGTTGTCTCTTGAATAAGTATGAAAGACAAAAAAAAAATGACAGCAGAAATTTCATTTGTTTGTGCGTCACCAATTAACAAGGTCATAGAGAGAATTAATACATCATCACACAGTGAAAGAGAAATTGTCTTGAATGGCCACTCTTCTAGATCTTTTTACATTAATGCAGGTGTCCCCCCAGGGACACTATCCTTAGAGCTATGTTGTTCCTAATTTTCATTGATATCATCAGTTCTCAACTTGGTATCTATGCTGATGACATTTGTTTCTGTCTTAGTATGTTTGATCGGTTCCATAGGATCAAATTGACAGCAGATCTCAAAAATTAGCTACAATCTGTTGTTAACTGGAGCAAGGAATGGCTTGTTAATTTTAACACCTCAAAAATAAAACTGCTCTCTTAACTGTCCAAGAAAACCCTTTTTTGCCTTCCATCAGCATGGCCGATGCTAACCTACAGGAGAGTAACTCATTGTGCTTTCTTGGGCTAACATTTTCCATTGAAATGAAATGGAAAGATTATATTGAACCAATTGCTAGGTCTGCTTGTTAGGAAGCTTGGCTAGCCAATTTTTCTTGTCAGAATTTATCTTACATATTTATAAGTCTACCATTCATCCATGCACTGAATATTCCTGCCACATTTGGTCTGGTGCTTCTAAGTATTTAGAGATTCTTGATAAAATCAAAAGAATATGCAATGTTATTCATCCTGACCTGGCATCTTGGCTTCAGTCACTTTCCCAGCCATAGCTTCCCTGCATCTTTTCTATAAATACTTTCATGGTAATTGTTCTGATGAACTTTCCTCTATGGTACCTAGACTTTATGAATTTAAGCGCAGTACTAGATTGTCAGCAAGATTTCATCATTTTACAATTGAAATGGCAAAATGTAACTATAAGTTCTATGCTAACAGTTTCTTGGCTCACACTTCTGGCTTCTTGCTTTACAGTTAAATTTGATCTTCAAAAAAATTAAATGCAAAGTCAATCATTATCTTGTTTTTTTTTTAATTCCTATTCATTTATCATTCCCTGTTCTTATACTTTTTTTTAATCATATTCTCTCACACTCAGTAACTTTTTGCATGTTTGTGGCTTTATTGCTTTGCCTGAGGTGAAATGATTAAAAAAAACTAGACATATATATATAATTTAAAATTAAATTTTGCTTGGAATCAGTGCACTTTACAGATATTTTGGAAAATATAAAGGTTAAAAAACCTATTAAAATTCAGCCAATCATCATTGTAGATAAAATTCAATCATTCATTATATGAAGATTTATTAATACAGGCAAATAGAGAAAAATAACGGCAAAAATATTAATTTCTCAGTGAATTTATGATTCAGACTTCACTTTTCTAAATTTTCCATTATCAGATATTTTATTAGCTTTCACAGATTAAGACAAAGGAAATATTCTTTTTTTAATAATTTCTATGTTTTATGTATAATTTTTTCATGAAATAAGAATGCTATTTTTCTTGCAGTGACATTTTTGTTAGCAAGTTTCCACATCTTTTACTTTTGATCTTTTCATAAAGAAATAAATTATTTAGAGTGTGCCTGACTTACCTTCTTCTAAACTAACTTCATCCCACTCACTGGCAGTTAATTTATTTTCAAAGTTTTTTTTCAAAGCCATCATCAAATCAAGTGGCCCACCAGGTTTTATACCAGTCTGTTTTAATTCCTCAGTAATTTTTTTCTGAAATTAAAAATAAAATTTGCATCAGTTACAAGTCTCAGAATTAAGTGGGAAAATAAATATCAACCAATGCAAATTCATCAAAAGTTACTTTAAAAGTAATAGTAATTATGAGATAATTTGTTTTTTCTAGTAATTCTGATATCATGAGATGATATGAACCCAATTAGATTAAGTTGGATTTAATAGAGAAGGAAAACTTAAGATTATATAGTGTCTTAACATACTCAGACATAAATATGGAAAACTTTAGGATCAGCAAGAAGCATACTGACCAAAAGAGTTTTAACATTAATTAATAATGTCTTGTATCTGAATTCTTTAAACATTCAAAAGAAATCATTTTTTTCTTCAGTCCTTTGAAAAATACTCAAGTGAGAAAAAAAATAGTAGATAATTTTTTTTTATATTTGTGTTATTAGATAAAGATAAATTTTGATGTGCAAGGGAGGTGTCTTTTAAAACACAATCCAAAAACACAGAGATATGCTCCTTTGTATGGGACTTTTCACCTAAGTGAAGGTGCGGTCAGTGATATGTTCACTTCTTATTCAGATAAATATTTTGAAGCTAATGAGAATACTTGTTCAGGAACCCGCTTAGAAATTCATCATATACTCTGATAAATTTTGTCACAGGTAGAGCAGTCAGAGAATGAAAATCAATGGTTCTCATCCGCATTAACAGTTGTCAAGGGTATTTGCTGTCATAATGGATTTGTTGCGGGTTCCTGCCCCCCAAAAATTTTGCCATTAAATTTCTCTTAGACTTAGGGAATTGATAAGTGGTCATATATCTCTCTTGGTGCTTGAAAAAAATTGTACCAGTAGTTAATAAACCAACACATAAGTTGAAAACAGCTTTCTTCACCGATGATCCAGTCTTCTAAGCCTTTTTATTTCTTTTTCTAGGCAATATAGCCTGGTGCATGTTATTCAAACAGTGAAAAGGTATTTCCTTTTTCTGTCAAAAATTGAACAGCATGATGTGAAAATTAGTAAGTATACCATTGCAAGACATGCAGTCTAGTGTTATAGTACAACACTGCATTTATTTTTTTAAGCAAATCTCTAGTCCTGGGTATGACGATAAACTACATCTGGCAACAAGGACCCTGATCAGGAGATTGGAAGTTTTGAGGAGCACGGAACCACCATTTAATTGCTGTTTTTCCCAATCTACCCTGACTTGGGGTGGTAACATCTGTTAGGGTCACAGCTATGGGAAAATAGTGAACCCCCAAACAAAACACTATGAAAGTATAAAAATACATTTTTATAGTAAAAATACCAACAATACATTTTTAGATAAAAAATTACCAACAATACACACTTATGAACAAATTGTTGCGACTTAACACAAATCCACTTAAAATACTACCAAACAACCAACAGATTAATGAAAGTTTTTTTCATTAATCTGTATAATATCCAACAATTTCTTAAATCAAACTGTATTCCAAAATATAACTTCAACAAAACTACAACATAAAACACGCATTACTGCCTCAAGTAATCATGTCCATACCAACATGTATGTGCACAAAGCTATCATCTACCATGTATTCAATTGTGAAAACAGAACAACATTTTTATTATTTCCAAGCTCCCAAGAAAATTAAATTTCAGCATTAAATGACCAAAAAGGAGTTGATATGCCATTAAACATACAAATCAAACTTAAGCAAATCTCAGAAAAATAAACACAACAAAAAAGACAAACCTCTGACATTTCTTAAAACAATGTATGAAAATAAAAAAAGTAATTTTTAATTTAAAGTAAAAAACGTTTTTATTTTAAACAAAATTAAAATGCCTTTTTTATTTAAGTAAATCTGTACTGAAAATGCAAACCACTTTCATTCTTTATAGTTTATTATAGATTTGTCATAGCTAAATTAAAAATCAAATCAATCTTTTTCTTCTTCATGCCTACAACTGCATTTTCATTGAATATTTTGTTATTTAACATTCAAATAAAAATCTGAATTATTTTTCATTACACAATTTTTCTTTTTTTTAGCAAACCATTAAAATTTTTCAAGTAATAATATGAGAATTTTGTGAAAGAAAACTAATTTAATATTAATTTTGTGCATTTAAATTTTAATTATTTTATCTTTTGCAAATTCAAGTTGAATAGTTTAAGTTTAAAATTTTACAGTAGAAATTTTCATTTTCATTAAAATGAGATATTAGTGTTATTTTCATTTTTGCATAATTTAGATGACAATTTATTCATCACATCCTGTATATAGTTTTTTTGGTAATAAGACTGTTAACCTTATGGAAAAACACTTTTATTCCTGAACATTAAAAAAATCATGCTGACAATATAGTTTAATGTTAATGATCCTATATTCTTTCCTTTAAAAAAAAAAAAAAACCTTTTATAATATTTTTTTAAATGCCTTGAAGATAAAAAAAAGTTGATTAAATCTTCCAAGTTCTCTCTGAAAGAAAAGAAAATTAACAGAACTTACTCTTTTCCTCTTTTTTTTAGATTCTTTTTGTCCCTCTTCTGATTTCCTTTTGCAACTACGTCCATCTTCTTCTGCAAGTTCAGATTCAGACAAAACAAGAACTGTAAATAAAAAAAAAAATGAATATTACAACTGAAAATCTAAAGTATAGAAAAGTAAAGATAAACATGTTTGTACATCAATAAGCTTGCACCCATGATAAATGAAAGCACTTATTTCACACAACAAAACTTTTTCAACATCTCCTTGGGTTTTGATGTGTACTGAGCTCTTTTCTGTTCATTTGTGACATGTGATGAAAGCAGATAGCCTAAACATGCATATATGCATATATTAGGGTTAATTTCTGCCTAGCAACAGAATAAAGGTCACGTGGTAGTCTTTGACATTTTGGGAAAGCAGGTCAAAAGGTTGACTGACCCAATTACCCGTAGCGACAAATGTCTAGACAGAAGCTAGACAGGGGACGGATGTAAGCTAGAATTCATGCCAAAACTTAAGACACATGACAGTCAGAGATTCACTCGAGAATCAGTTGCTATCTTGACTTTGGAGAGGCAAGACCTGAAGCCGAAGCACTGATAGTTTATGAACGGAAAGATAAGACACATTTGATAGTGATAGAACTTATCCAGTTCAACCCAGGCAACTCCGGACAAGAAATATAAGAAGTATTCCTGTTCGATAACCCCAAATTGAAGATGCAAAAGAACTTTATATGCTGAGGATTCAGCCGGCGTTTAAAGAAAAAGGAAAAACCAGAGAAGAAATCATATCCCTCTGTTACAAGTTGAATTGTGTAAAGAGAAGAAAACGGATATCAAGAGAGGAAGAAAGTATACTTCTGTTACAAGTCGGATTGTGTAAAGAAAGAAAAAGGAAAACCAGGGAAGAAAGTGTATACCTCTGTTATAAGCTGAATTGTGTAAAGAAGGAGAAGGAAAGAAAGAAGAAAACCAAAGAGAGGAAGAAAGTGTACATCCCTGTTGAAGTAAGTCGGGTTTGGAAACCAAGCTGTCTACAGAAGAAAATAAAGGAAAGAAAAAGGCGAAACAAAGAGAGGAAGAAAGTGTATACCTCTGTTACAGCCGGACAGTGTGTGAAATTGTGTTTGTGTCGAGAAAAGAAAAGAAAGGACATTGATATAAAAAAAGAGAACTGAATATAAAAGATATGTAATCATATTTAGGACCCGTAGTAGAAAGATGTACATACATCCATGAATATTATGTTTTTGCAAACACCTTTCCACATGTAAAACAATAATTGTAACTCCTATCCCATCTCTTTTGTATGTGAATTGGCTTCTGCATTCAATTCATAGTAATTCATACTTAAATTTTTGTATGTTCGGGTTCAGTTGAATCCATTTGGTGTTAGGCGAATTTTGATATCCCAACGTAAGTTTGAGATCTGGTCGTTGGATGTTTTAACTCATACTTATCTGTTTTTTTATTTTGATATTTGTATATTTGTACATATTAAAATTCTTGCATCAAAAATCACTAAGCCTTATAGTTCATTGCATTGTGGATCAGTATTCGTGTTGAAAACGAAGCGGACCTGGGAAAGATTACTGTTCGATTATTCCAATCGAACAGTGGTCTTAAAAATATTTTTGTTTACCAATTGTCCATTCTCACGATCTGAGAGAGATAGCTTGTATCTTTCCACGAGTGTGAGAATATATATATATCTCCTAATCGGCATATGATCGCCCTATAAACCCATTCATCGACTGGGGCATATGACATCACTCCAACTGAATTCAAAATTTGTTTCAATTACTCAGTGGCTCAGAAAAAAAAGCAATGAATGCTCCCCACTCATACTTTACTCTGTTTTTTTTATTGTCACGTTTTTTTTTGTTCATGTCATGTTTCATATTTTCTTTATGCATTTTTTCTTGAATGTTAATTACATAGACTGAATATTATACAGTAAAAATTTCAGATTAAAACTCGGCTAATGCATTTTATCTGTTTACTAATCCAACCTTGTATATGAGACAGCTTTGAGGAAAAGAATGAATTAAATCAGATACTTTAAGTATTCTAGACAACAGTATGCAAAAGAAATTATCTTTATAATAAAAATTCAATGTTAGATATAGAAATATCCTCTAAATTAATCCCTAATGTCTGTACCATCTCCAAGAATAGTCTTCATGGCCCATTTTCCTTTGAGGGAAATGTGACCAGTGATGTTTATCTTGCAAATGCTTCAGAACTGGCTAATTTGATAAACTCACTGCAAATGAACATCAACCCTTCATTTTACAACAGGAAAGAGTGCCACCTCACTGTGTGGGTTTATCTCAATGAGAATCTGCCAGGGAGATGGATTGGTCATGCTGGTGATGAAGACAATGTGCTGAAATGGCCGCCACAGTCTCCTGAGCCAACACCTTGTTATTTTTTTTCTGGGTCTATGTGAAGTGACTGGCCTAAGCTAACTCCCCATTCTCTACACACCAAGAGGAACTCAAGCTGAAAATCACTAACACCATGGGGACTGTTATCCAAGACATGCTGCAGTGTGTTTGGCAGGAGCTGAACTACCAACTTGATGCATGCTGTATTGCAGTTGGTGTGCATATTAAAAGCTTGTGAAATCATTCATGAAATGCACATACCTTGGAATCTCCCATTCAAATTTTAATGAATAAATTTTGTTTTGCTCAACAGCTTGCTTAGTTTCATTTGCCTAGACTATGTAGTTACTCAGGTATTTATATCTCAAATCTTCCACATTAGATGACACAGGACCCTATTCCATGTCAAGTGGCAAGACAGAGTCCCAGACACTGAAGTGCTCTAGAGAGAGCATCCATGCCATCCTATTGCATTATCAGCTCCAGTGGGCTAGCCACATCCACTGCATGGACAACTGTCGCCTCCCAATGAGATTGCTCTATGGTGAGCTATCCACAGGCAAGCACTCACTCAGCAGACCAAAGAAATGTTACAAAAACACACTGAAGGAGTCTTTCAAGCATTGTGGCATTCCCCATTCCACCTGGGAAGAGTCTGCTGAGGGCTGTGCTGTCTGGTGCACCCTTCTAAGGTCCAGAGTGTCTGGTTTTGTAGAGAAAAGAATCAGGCAGAGAAATGCCAGAAAAGGAAAGATCAAGAGGGTTCTGCCTCCCAGCCTGGTTCAGGCCCCAACCTCCACTGTCACATCTGCAACAGATTTTCAGGGTATAAAGATCAGATTCATTAGTCATCTCTGCATCCCCCACTTCCCAGTGATTCAAAGTCAAGGTCATCTCCACATGCAGAGTACAAATGATTATATCTCAAATGATATCAAATTTTTGAAACACCCTGTATTTTGATTAAAATCTCTTTCCCACTCCAGGAAGATTAATTTTGTTATAATCAAATCTTGTACTATTTTTAAGTCAAAGAAAATTATAAATGTAACGGGCATAGACAACAGAAAACCACTCTACTATCTTTCCTAAGAAGCAATTCACAGATAAGAAATGGAATCTGTGGAGAGTCATGATCGCCTCCACCCTGAAAAGACATTAAAAAAATGTAAATTTTTTTTAAAAGCATGAATAGCATAGTAAAGAGCTGTTTCAACTTGCAAATCAGTGATTTGTCATCTACAGCATGGTTGTTCATTTCTGAGCATGCCCACCTGTTCAGGACCATTTACATTTTACAAACACCCATAGATCCAACTTCTGGTTTATACTGCAACTGTGCTGATAAACGGACCTCAGTTACTGTTTATGGGCTCACCAGGGTTGCATGCGGTTTTGAATTCATAGTTGTTCTTCTCCTATACTTGTTGCCAACTACGGCTAGAGATAGTTCAGTCTGCCCTGCTATGTAACCCATAACTGGGGGATTGATTCATACCGTTCCCAAAAGTATTTGTGCTAAAGTAGACGTAATGATCTCGACTGGAATTCCAACCCAAATCGCCGAAAATTAAATGCGATACAATTAAGAAACGATTCAAAGGTTGTTGTTTTTTTTTTTTGTTTGATTCTTATAATTTGATTATCCCTGCTCTCAATAAAATTACAAAACTAAATCTAACTAATGAAGAATAAAACATGAATTCTCAAAAGACGTGAATATTTTATAAGCTCAAAAACTATAAAAAATGTTTGTTCTAAACGAAACCTGTATTTATATTATTCAACAATAATGCACAAGTTCGTTTTAAACCCGATGAAATACCTCAGAATATTTTATAACTAATTTTAAAAATTGAAATTTATTTTTTGAATTTTTTCGTTTGTTATGATGGCAGATTTTTACACGTGGTTTTTAGCAGGATTCAATTTTAAATTCGGGAATAACTTGTAAAATACAACGGATATTTTACATCATATTATACTATGGATATTTCATATCATAGAGAAAATTTAAAAAAGTACTTAAGAATCTTACTTCCATCATCAGACGGTTTGTGTTCATTTTCCTCTTGTTCTTGATTAAGCCACCATTCGTCATTCAGATCATCCGCCATTTTTAAATAAATACAGTTTACCAGTAGCAACTTTACTTTCGTATGTAAAAACAAACGGAAAGAATATTTATTCAATATCTCAAATAAAATAATGTAAATTTGTTTGAATGTAAATATAGCTATATTACTTTTATAATTTAAAAATTTAGTACATGCGAAACCAATAAAGCTGCCGTTCACCATGACAAGAGGAAGAAACTCTTATTTTCTTAGAGAATTAAAAATTTCACAGGTACCCACTCTTTTACTCTCTTATATCTCTCTCTCTCTTTTTAGTCTCTTATATATATATATATATATATATATATATATATATATTTTTATATATATATATTAGTGAATATACATAATATCCAATGTCGATAATACTATAGTGAGAGAAAGACTAAGAGAGTGAATATACATCATAATACCCAACGTTGATAGTACTATATATATGTGTGTGTGTGTGTGTGTATATATATATATATATATATATATCAAATATTGTATATATATATACATGTATAATTATTTATTTAAAAATATGATTTCAACAAATTACATAAGAGTTATTTACCTAACGAGTTCTTTCCTAAAATAATATATTTTTTTACATAATATATATATATAAAATATATATATATATATATATATATATATATATATATGGAATAACAATATATTCTATATATAATAATAATTTAGGGAAGAAAATTATCAAAGTGGAAAACATCACCTATATTTTATAAGATTAACTATTCTGGTTTGAAATACAAAAAATTTCACCTTCCATCCAGTATTTAATTTCTTCAAATTTTTTTAAACGTTTTCATCAATGAATATAATAAAGATGATGAGGGTTGTCCTAACAAAAGGACATGTAACTATTTTAAAACATTTTTCATGCTATTATTTTATATTATAGGACTTATCATACTAAAAAAAGCTTTCTGATAATGTTGGTAGAAATTGAACAATTTATATTCACATTTTTGAGAAACCAGGATATATATATATATATATATATATATATATATATATATATATATATATATATATATATATATTATGAAATGGACAAAGTCCAATAATTATTTTAAGACATTTTTTATGTTTATATGTTCTTTTATAGATACAAATATTTAATAAATATATGTGTTTATAATAAAATGACTTAAAACATTTACTTGCCTGAATATCCAAGAAATTCATAAAATATGTCCTCCGACAGTCATTTGTTTACATTTGGATATGCATTGAACTGATATAGAATTTATGTGCTTTTTAAATTGAGCATAGAGGAGATTTTGGTTAGTTTTTTTAAGACAGTAAAATTCTCCATTGCTAACCAAACAATCCTCTGTGGCCCAATCGGTTAAACAAACATCACAGCTATAATGACAAGTTCCATATAGGATTTAAGACATTTTTCCTGTCAGAGGATTCTTTATTTTCTATAAAAATTTCTCCGGATATTCAGGCCAGTAAATGTTGTTAATACTGTTTATTATAAACAGAGCATTTATTAAATATTTGTATCTATAAAAGAATGTCTAAACATAAAAATGTCTTAAAATATATATATATTTCTGTATGTGTGTGTGTGTGTGTGTGTTTACTTGAATAAGCTTGACATGTTCTTTCTATTCAATTTTTTTATTAACAAATTTATAAGTTAGTTGTTTAATATAATCATTAAATTTCACCCCCACACAACCCCAAGTACTTTTGAATGTTGCTACATTTGTTTTCAGAGATTGTGTTTTGTCACTTTCTCTATGTTTATATAACAACATTCAAAAGTATTTGGTATGGGACACAAAAAGTAAAATAAAGTAAAAATAAATATGAACTTACGAATTAGATAAAACAACTAATTCAGAAATTTGAAAATGTTGATAAAATATTGGATAGACAATTTTTATTCAATCAAATATGTTTGAAAGAATTCTTGCTGCCAAAATACACATTATATATATATATATATATATATATATATAGAGAGAGAGAGAGAGAGAGAGAGAGAGGGGATACTGATATGTGTGTACACGTCTGTAATTGTTTTTAAAAAGTAAAAGCAATCTTTTGTAAAAAATAAAAAATAAAAAGTGACTGAACAGGAAGTAAATGTTACTTATCTTTATGGTTAGTGATTAAAAGTTAAACCAGTTGATTTGTATGGATATGCGGTAGTGAACATATTGAAAAGCAGGAAATGAATCTCTCTTTTATTTTTCTCACTTTTAATGTCTATCTTTTATATATATTTTGTATGGATCTAATTCTAGATGATTTATGATGAATAAAGCTAACCATTTTGGCATTTAAAAAAATATCAAACTAATTAAATATCTCTCTCTATGCATATATTATATTTATATATATATCATATGTGGATGAATTGGCTTATAAAAATAATTTTAATCTGTAGTAGTGGAAAGGTATTAAAATTTAAATAGTTATTATCATTTTTCTGACCCTAAATGTCTTAAATTCCCTGAATGTTAAGATCAACACACATCTGATGAAGGCTGGTTTTCTTTTGGCTTTTAATTTCTTTCTATTTCTTATTCTCTTTCCCAAATTCTTTAAAATCCTTTTCTGATTAGCTTTCTCTGTTTTTCAACTGTTCAATTTTTCTTGTATCTTCATCAGAGTGATTTATGATTACATCTTTGATCAGATTGGTTTATGATATCTTGATCAGATTGATTTATGACTGCATCTAGATTAGATTGGTTTATGAGTTCATCCTGATCAGATTGATTTATGATAACATCTTGATTAGATTGATTTATGATAATATTTTTATCAGATTGATTTATGATTTCATCTTGATCAGATTGGTTTATGATTGATATTGATCATATTGGTTTTTGATTGCATCCTGGTCAGATTGATTTATAACATCTTGATCAGATTCATTTATGATTGCATCTAGATCAGATTGGTTTATGATTGCATTTTGATCACATTGATTTATGATAGTATATCAGATTGGTTTTTAATCTTAAGTGTCAACCAAGATACATTTTACAAGTTAGCATAGTGATATCAATTTCTATTCAAAACTTTTTCTTTATATATTTGAAATTCCTTGTATCTACATAGTTTATGGTGTGGCATTTTTGTTTAAATTAAATAAAAAAACCTTTTCAGTGTTATATTAGTTCTGGTATATGCAAATGTGAGTTTATGCATATGTCTACAGTTGAAAAAGGAAGTCAAGGAAGAAATAGGTCAATCTAAGAAAAATATTTATAATTAGTGAATAAATGTAGAGTCATTCAAAGAAAATAAATTAGCACAAGGAAATAGTCATATATTTTTATAACTGAAATCACAAAATGTACCAAAAATTAAAAATAGACAGAAAATTGGACATTGATGATTTTAAGTAATTTACAATTTTGAGAAAAAATTTGATTTCTTGAAATTTTGGTAAGTCATTTAATTCATTTTCTGCACATTAATTAAAATTAAACTTTTGCCTAAAAGTCACAAAATAGACATAAACTATGTTTTTAAAGTAGAGGAACCAGATGTTTTTCTATTGAGACTTTCCTGTGAAAATATTGATAGAAAAGAGAAAGAATTTTGTGAAATTTGATGAACAATTTGAGTGATTGATTGAAAGGTTGCAAATAAAGCCTCTATATAATAATAATAATAATAATAATAATATATATATATATATATATATATATATATATATGTGTGTGTGTGTGTGTGTGTGTGTGTGTTTAGGCAGCATATTTTCATTAAACAGGCTCGGATAAATCATTTAGACATATTGTGTCTATTTATTTTGAGGTTTGACTATATTGTACATATATATGTATATATTTATGTATGTTTTCATGTGTGTGTGTGTGTGTGTGTGTGAAGTAAAGTGAAAGAAATAGGAAAGGGGAAAGGAGAGATTGGTTGAAAGGTTGCAAATAAAGCCTCTTTATAATAATAATAATAATAATAATATGTGTGTGTGTGTGTGTGTGTGTGTGTGTTTATATATTAATTTTATATATATATTTTTTATATTTTATAATTTATATATATATATATATATATATATATATATATAAATATATAATTTTTTGTCTTAGCAATTTGCCCCTGAAGATGATCTTGGATGAAATTGAAAGTACTTGGAAAAATAAAAGAAATAACCAAAACTACGGCATGTTTCTTAATCAGTTTAATAACAGCACTAAGAAATTCAACTGTGAATTTGAGATGATTAAAATAAAAATAAATAAACATAATATTTCTAGATTATTCAACCAAACATGCTTGAGTGACGATATGCTGCTTAAATATACATATATATAGATATATAGGATAACGATATATAATTTTTTATATCTCTCGAAGAATTTTTTATAATTTTTAAATTTAAAATTCTCACCATCTCTCTTCCATTTGTGTGCATGTGTAGTTGTATCAATGTAAGCATAAACTTAGTCAAATTAAATCCCAAAGGACAAAATGCATCACACAAAAACTGTTTTTTACTTAGTTCTTTACCCCATCAAAGAAAACAATTTTATTGTATGACCTTGAACCCATAAAAGTTACTTTGTAATTGTGCTGTACTTGTATAACTATTCCAGCAACATAACTGACTGAGAATAAATAAAGATGAAAATCCAATACTGCCTGAGAAAATAAAATTGTCTTTTCTTTTTGGCTATTATTTATTTACTTTTTATGGTTTCATTCTGTTTTTTACAAAATAGGCTATATTTCTGAACACAAACTTTTTACAGTTTTTACTTCTTTCTAGTGAAATTTCATATTTTGTTATACTTTTTCCAATAGAAAGAAAGTTTTTAAATTTCTCATTTTCATATTTGAAATCAAAGAAGTGTGTGTGTGTGTGTGTGTGTGTGTGTGTGTGTGTGTGTGTGTGAGGTGGGGACAGAAACTAAAGTAAGCTGGAGGAATAAAAATAGGGGTTAGCAATATAGAGAAAGAGATTCAGAAGTAGATTGAAAATGTTTGATGTAAAAATATAA